CCCCAAAACCCCAAAACCCCAAAACCCCAAAACCCCAAAATTGTTCAAATAACCTGGAAATCCACCTAATAATAATTAATTGTTCACCCATAAAAATGGACCCATCTCCAGTACAAACAAAGAAACAGGAACTAGAGATTGCCAAAGCTGAGGAATCCCTGCACCTTCTTGAAGATTTCTTGTTCCACAAAATAGAGAACAACCTTCACAAAAACAGTAGCCTAGCAAGATACTCGACTCTAATGACTGGAACGATTAATGTCAAAGAGCCATTCACGAGGGAGCGACACTATTATTTCACCAAACTTTCTGAAATACTTTGGGTAGCTGACTTTATAAGAACGATTAGAATTGAGGACTCTGGTAAAAAAGCAAGGGAAATATCGAGATCGATACTGAGAAGAGTCAGGAAAATAGAGATTAGAGATATGTTAATAATTTTGAATATAAATCACCCACTTTGTATCCTACCAGAGAAAGAACTAGATCTTGACAAAATTTTGATAAATATTCAGTCAAATATTACAATCTGAAAATATATTATTCCTCGCAAAATGTTTGCTAAAATTATCCATTGCAGCTCAGGATGTCTCAAACTAGCCATACAAAACTGAGAGATTGATATCTGAGCTATCAAGATCAATCCTTTAACCTGGTTCAAAACTCAGACTCTAAATCTAACAAATTCGAGACCTCTTGGGTTTGAAGTATGGGACTCAAATCCCGAAAAACTTATTCCTCTTTTGGAATCAATAGTGGCTTGAAAGAGTGAAACAAACCATAGTTTAAAAGACTCTTTGGAAGAGATCAGTCTTTTTCCATCCTTTCTTTCTAAGCTTGACCTTCAAAACCTCAACAAAGTTTGTCAAGGAACGAATATATCAGTATGTAGCCACATTGCAAAAGAAATGCGGTATCAGAATATAAGATGAGATATTCAATAAAAATTTCTTCAACTTCATAAAAAGTTAAAGGGGTTTTGGGGTTTTGGGGTTTTGGGGTTTTGGGG